ATATATATATATATATATATAAGACTAATTGTATATTTTAAAAAAAAACTTCAAACGTGTGGTTCAGTGGTAGGGGTTGATCCACGCTTAATCAAGGTCAGAGATTCGAATCTTGCCTTGTGTATGCGCCGTGTTAAATCTTGGGGTCAGCTATCCCACCCTTTGAGGTGTCTCCAACGTAGCGAGGAGATTAGTCACCACTATAAGTGGTGGATACTTCAGGAATGAAACAAAAAAATTGTATATTATACATATTATAATTATTTAAATATATGAATCTCAATAAATAATTTTACAACTTATAAAGTAAAAAATTAAGAATTTGTAAACTATATCATACTTGATCTTAAACATAATTTACCCAAAGACATTAAATATTTTTGACATCACCTTACTTTAGTAGTTTAAACTTATGTTTGATTGGATGTCAGAAATATAGGTTAACGTACATTTTCACCCACATTTTTTGTGAAACAATTTAAACTTATTTTTGAATTTTGATATACATTTATGATTGAGGTTAATTTAAGCACATATTTTAATTATATTTTTAGTGTTTTAAATTTAAGATAATTGTTTTTTATTCCAAATTTTAAATTTATAATTTTAATCTATATAATTTTTAAAAAATATTATTTTAATTTCGTTTCTCATTCGTCACTAGCGGTGTACTTACAGGTTTGCATCCATACATATTAAATTTCTTTAGTAAAACTACTGTATATTTCTTTTGTGAGATGAATATTCCATCATTTTGCTGACTTACCTCTATACCGAGGAAGTAACTCATCAAGCCAAGATCAGTCATCTCAAAGGTCTTCATCATGTCTTCTTTAAACTCCATCATCATATTTGTATTGGTTCCAGTATAAATAAGATCATCTACATACAGAGAGAGTAAGAGAGTATGCTGACCTTGAGTCTTGATGTATAGTGTAGGCTCACTCTTACTCCTCCTGAATCCATGATTAGTGAAGTACTGGTCGATCTTGCTATACCATGCTCGAGGAGCTTGCTTCAGGCCATATAAAGCTTTCTTCAATCTCAACACTTTGCCTTCATGGCCTTTCATCACAAATCCTGGTGGTTGCTCCACATAGATCTCTTCTTCGAGTACGCCATTGAGAAATGCAGACTTGACATCTAATTGGTAGATGTTCCATCCTTTTTGTGCCGTAAGAGCTATTAGAGCTCTTATTGTGTCTAGGCGTGCGACTGGAGCAAATGTCTCATTGTAGTCTACTCCTGGCTGTTGTGAGTAGCCTTTAGCGACCAATCTTGCTTTGTGTTTTTGTATAGTTCCATCAGAATTAAGCTTTGTTTTATATACCCATTTTACTCATGTTCCTTATCACATACAACATCAATATACAACCATCTACATTGTCAACATATCATCTCATCACACATCTCCAACAACTTAGCATCATATAATTCTTATAACTTACACGTCAACCAACTTACATCATTCAACTTATTAAACTAAAAAGTATGATAATAAGTCAAGGTAGAATAATATTTTAGATATAGGTCTTCCACGACATTAGCTTGCAACATTAATTAAGTTTCATATGGAATTAACCCACTAACTACCCTTCAATACTTGATTAGGGACCAAGTCCTTGACTTTGTAATTTACTCGGTTAGTCACTTGTATCAATATAACTTGACCTTGCCCCTATATTGTAGTCACTTTATACATGTATGTCTTGACCTTTTCCACATACAAATACCACATAGAACTTAGAGGAGGCAACAAACAACTTACTCATTCAGAAGTTGACTTACTTACTGAAGGATTCAACATAATGTATATTCGTATAATGAGATGTTAAATTGTAAAAACATCTTTAACTCTCCTTTAGTTTTTATGTATCTAAACGTAGACATGCATCACAACTACATGTCTAACAACTAAACAGTTTAATAACTTATTATCATACATCGTTACAACTTTAACATTATTCATTTTACATCTTAATCATACAATAAGATAACATCGTATCAACTTACATCTTTACAACTTAACTATCTATCATCATGCATACCAACTTTCACATTAACAACAATAATAAACACAAATTTTAGCATGTTCCTTATCACATACAACATCAATATACAACCATCTACATTGTCAACATATCATCTCATCACACATCTCCAACAACTTAGCATCATATAATTCTTATAACTTACACGTCAACCAACTTACATCATTCAACTTATAGCACTTCATAGCATATGCAACATATCCATGATTCATTCAAGGTAGAATAATATTTTAGATATAGGTCTTCCACGACATTAGCTTGCAACATTAATTAAGTTTCATATGGAATTAACCCACTAACTACCCTTCAATACTTGATTAGGGACCAAGTCCTTGACTTTGTAATTTACTCGGTTAGTCACTTGTATCAATATAACTTGACCTTGCCCCTATATTGTAGTCACTTTATACATGTATGTCTTGACCTTTTCCACATACAAATACCACATAGAACTTAGAGGAGGCAACAAACAACTTACTCATTCAGAAGTTGACTTACTTACTGAAGGATTCAACATAATGTATATTCGTATAATGAGATGTTAAATTGTAAAAACATCTTTAACTCTCCTTTAGTTTTTATGTATCTAAACGTAGACATGCATCACAACTACATGTCTAACAACTAAACAGTTTAATAACTTATTATCATACATCGTTACAACTTTAACATTATTCATTTTACATCTTAATCATACAATAAGATAACATCGTATCAACTTACATCTTTACAACTTAACTATCTATCATCATGCATACCAACTTTCACATTAACAACAATAATAAACACAAATTTTAGCATGTTCCTTATCACATACAACATCAATATACAACCATCTACATTGTCAACATATCATCTCATCACACATCTCCAACAACTTAGCATCATATAATTCTTATAACTTACACGTCAACCAACTTACATCATTCAACTTTATTGGAGGCCATAGATCAAAGAAAAATGTTTATAAATATAAAAGGGAATTTTGGAAGTAATTGGGTGATTTTTCTACGCCCAGTAAATGACCGAACGTAGCTCTGGTACCACTAATAGATTTAGAACAAACTGTATAATGAAGTGGAATCAGTTGAAAAAATAGTTATGTAAAAGTATTTGAAGGAATAGGGCACAAATTTTGTAAAATAGTGAAAGACACTAGATTGTAATTTTTTCATACACTCAATGCACGGAGGCTATGCCTATTTATAGGCTTGAACCACCGACTGATAGATTTAGAACAAACTGTATAATGAAGTGGAATCAGTTGAAAAAATAGTTATGTAAAAATATTTGAAGGAACAGGGCACAGATTTTGTAAAATAGTGAAAGACACTAGATTGTAATTTTTTCATACACTCAATGCACGGAGGCTATGCCTATTTATAGGCTTGAACCACCGACAATCAAAGGTGATTTTTTGAATTTTTTATTATTTACTTCATTCTAGAATTGTGTTCCTAGAATTATCTAATATTTTTTTAATATACAATTAATAGCTTCATGATGCTTCTCTCTGTTTCTATATGTTTCTAGAATTTAGAAATTTGCAGCATTTTATCAATGCTTTGTTTACAAAAGTAAATACCAAGCATACATAAAATATCATAAAATGATAAATTTTGTAACTAACATTATTAGATTATATGGTATGCAATGTATAAGTACCTGATTTTCAGTCTGCAGCCAAGCATCAGTATATTTAGGACAATGCCTCACTGTGTAATGCTTCACATTCTTCTGCAACTTATAAGGCCCTTGGCAAATTTCAGTGAAGTTGGGTAAACATATGAGTTTCAACTCTCTCAATTTTGGAAGCAATAATTGCTGCCTGTCTTGATCAGGCACCTGTCCTACTTCTTGACCTCTATCATCTTCAGTGAAATAGAAAACATGTTCTATGCTAGCGCACTCCTCTACTGTAATAAACTCCAACTCAGGGAACGGGGAAGCCAATGAATGAGAGAAAAGGCATTTCAAATTCTTGCACTGAAAGACATGAACCACAGACAGTAGAGGGAGGCACACGGAGTTGGAACAAGCAGATGCGTTTCCAACTTGCTCTGCAAGATCTGAATAAATGATCTGCTCCAACTTTTCACACTTGCTTGCAACCAGTTCTCTCAGCTCTGCTAGGCATCCAATAATAGTGGAGGAGAAGATAGTTTCCAAGTTTTTGCATTCCGATAGCACTAAACTCTTGAGCTTCCGGAGGCTGAGGAGATCCTTAGGGCACTTCCAAATAAGCCTCAAATCAGGTAAATCCTTTAAGTATAAATGAGATAAGTTCGAGCTCAATGGCGATGCTTCAGCCGCTTGCAGTTGGAAAATACCTTCCACCATGGAATGCTCAATAGCAAGACATTCCAAGGCTTGAACTGATTCTCGGTTTTCAGGAAATACTATTTTCTCCTATATTTAAGACTAGTCAATATTAGATCATTATGTTGTCAATATTACTACACTTGATCAACTACTACAAATCTATTCAATATTCTCAAAAGAAAAAGTATTTGGAAATAAGACTCAAAACTTAGCTCGTGGTATAATGATATCTTAATATTTAATAACTAGAGAACTTCTAATTAATCGTCAAAATAAAAAAATTTCACACGTTATTAAGCATGCAAATCTTTTGTGGAAGTAAAAATATTTGAAGCCTTACCTCAGTGGCTATAAGACCTTGTTGCATATCTGAACTGATCATAGTCTTGCACATTACATCGATTGGCATGTCGGGACAGTCTTTGTATTCAATCTCTTTCAAATTGGGTGACCTTGGATGACAATACTTGGGGCAAATGTTGATCATATTTGACAATGATACAAGTGAGATTCTTCTTAAAGCATGAAGGTTGACGTTGGCCTTAGCCTCATTTCCATTACCCTTGTAATCATTGTGTGTGCCAAATACATACTTTAACCCAAAGTTGTACCATATGGCTATCTTCTCCAATCTCTCTAGATTTTGAGCAAAAGCAACGGGAAAGATTGATCCTAACCTTTGACATCCATGCACATGAAGGATCCTTAGATTTGGGAACACTTTCAAGGTACTGGCATTCCCATCTTCCTCGTACTCTTCATCTATTATATGCTTCAAATTGCTGCAATCAAATAATTTCAATTCCTCTAGTAGCTCTAATCCTCGAGCAACGGCAGGTGTAAAAAGTGATGATGTTAGCATTGGACACCACTGTAATCTGAGGATCTTAAGATTGCACATATTTGAATTCCTTGGGAAAGATATACTATTCAGTTGTACACAATACTCTATCTGCAGATCTTCTAAGTTTTTGAGAGAGCATTGGGAAGTTGGATCACGGAAAACTTCTTTAAGACCATCCATCCTTATCAACTTCAAGGTTACCAAATCAGAGAATGCTGGCAAATTGGTACCACTATCATTATCAAGGAGGCACTCTATATCTGAACAAGACTCAAGTATTAGCCCAATCACCTTAGTCATGCCTCCTTGATCCATGTGTGGGATGATATTTTTGCAACCTCCCCTTAGATGCCCCAAGTAAAGGTGCTCCGCTCTCTCAAACAAATTTTTTATTGAAGATGATTCATGAATCAAAGCAGCGGCATCATACCTGTCTATGCATAGAGCTCTTGATGGAACATGGTCCTCTAGATAAGCATCTATGAGGAATCTACAGTTTTCCCTGAACTTGTCACATACAATTACATACCTATGCAACATTGGCAAAGAGACAATATGGAAAGAATCATCTTCAACTGGCCATGCATACAACTCCTCTAGGTGCACACACTTTCTTATCACTTCATAAGGGTTGTTCTTCTTGATGCGACAGGTGTATATATCCAGTAGTCTTAATTTCTTCAAAGCTCCAATTCCTTGTGGCAATTCATTGAAAGATGAATTGCGCATATCAAGAACCTCAAGTCTTGTTAAGCTTGCCAGTGCAGAGATATCACCTAACTCATATCCTCTTAAAGAAAGACTTCGCAACATTGTTAATTTCTCAATTGATTGGTGAATTTTCAACATAGATAACGATGAGCTCAAGTTGCGCAATGTATACAAGTTGCGCCATGTGTAGTAAAATTTTATAATTCCTAAGACCTCCAACATTTGCATCCCTCCAAAATACATATTCGGCACTTGGAAAGAAGATCCATCCACAGAATGAAGTAAGAGAGTCTTGAGTTTAGGACACTGCAAATGGTCAATAGGAGGATGATTATCCATGCCCCATAAGGAAAGTGCAGTTAACTTTTTCATATTTTCATTTTCCACTGCTAACGTTTTGGTAGTTACCTTGCCTTCTTTGGATGCAATCCACAAGGCTACATCACGAACCAAGTCATGCATTTTGACAAATTCATTTTGATCACTTGGTTCCAACAAATATGAATCTTTGAGGGAGTGAATGGCCACTTGTATCTCTTTCCTCACTTTCTCCATCCTTCCAGCAACCAGTCCAAGTCCCATACTGTACCGAACCAAATCTTCCACATTGATCTCACGATCTTCAGGAAACATGGAGCACAATAAAAAGATAAATTTGGATACATTCTCTGTCAAATTATCATAGCTTAACTTGATACAAGCATAAGAACTGCTTGGCAGCTCTTCTTCAACATATTCCTCCAGTTTAATCAATGCTAACTCCCACTCTTCAATGTTCTTTCTTCTTAGCATGCTTGCCATTGCCACAATTGCAATTGGCAATCCTTTACATTTTTTAGCAATTTTCCTTGGCACATCCTTCAACCTCGAGGCATATTTTGAGTCGTCAATAATGTCTGCACATTGTTGAAACAAAGTCCAAGCATCCTCGTCATCCATGAGATTCAACTCAACTGTAACTTGACAATTCATAGAAACACATATATCTCGGCGGCGAGTAGTTAGTAGGACAGTGCAACAAGGTGGAATCCCTATGGCTTCAAGGTTCAGCTTCTCCCACACATCATCCAAAATCACAAGAGTCCTCTCATTTTGTAAACTAGTTGATAGTCTCTGAGCCCTACCAATTGGTGTCTCTTCCCTCAGTATCAGATCCAAACTATCTGCAATTTGACCTTGGATGTTTGTCACTTGTGAATTGTGAGAAACAATAGCCATCACAACCTTGTCAAAAAGATGCATCTCCTCAGCTTCTTTTCCCACCTGTGTCACCAAAGTGCTTTTACCAGCTCCTCCCATCCCGAGGAGTCCAATCATGCCATTGCTTCCATCTTTCAATGCCTCCATGAGTTTATTATAAGCATCCTTTGTGGACTTGGAATACACAAAGTTTTTGGAGGAGAAGTATTTCATGCCAGGAAGTTCAGTGCGCCTAGAAAATGGATCTAACTTGTAGCTGTTTAGCTTCGACATTTTCTCAGTCAACCTTGCTACTTCTTTTGCTAGCAAGTATTGGAAAGGACCACGGTAACACCTACTCTTTTCTTTGGTTTTTTCTTCAATCTTTTCCACTTCTACCAAGACATTACTTACATCATCCATCCACTTCTCTACAATATCCTCGATTTTTTCAGTTTTTCTTTTTGCTTCTTTCTTACGTTCATTCACACTCCTTTGGGTTAAAATCAACCTATCTTTATGATTATGAAGATTTCTCACAATTTTGTTGAAACTGAACATGTAATGAGCATGCTGCAACAATGGCTTGACCAAATATTCCGCAATTTTGGATGCAATGGAGATGGCTATGTCCTCCATATTTGAATTTCAAACCAATGCAACCTGATATAGTAAAACCAAATCACAGTAGTTTGTGAAATAGAATGAACATAACAATTTATTAGATTTTTTCTGTCAAGTTTCCAAAATGATGGATGCAAATAATAAATTATGACAGATAGAGCATAATATACAGGTTTGCCGTAGGAAAACACTGTCCAATGACCGCTAGGCAAAAATAGAAAAAACTATTATTCTATAAAATACCATTGACAATTGTCTTGGTTATATTATAGGTATGCAAATCAAGTAAAGGAACTCATGCATTGTGAAGGGGATTCCCTAACAACGAATTGAGATTCATAGTTTGAATCTTATACAACTTAAAAGTACATCATTTTCACACACTGATAACTGGTGAGGACTGGAACTTCCATTCAATCCAGAAGTTAGAAAGACTCAAACACTAATATGTTAAAGAGAAATGCTAAAATATATAAAGGAGTAGAATATTAGTGCCAAATACTAATACAGGGGAAGATGTATTAATTAACGGAGAACCTGTGTGATTTCTACTATGACAGCCTTCAAAGTGATTGCCAAATACTAATACAGGGGAAGATGTATTAATTAACGGAGAACCTGTGTGATTTCTACTATGACAGACTTCAAAGTGATTGCACATAATGAACATGAGAAGGAAGAAAATATGGATGAGTCTAGGTGAGGAGGAATAAAATGCTAAAGCAATGAAGAAGATATTCCTTGCTTCATTTAGACAAGGCATCAATTCAAAATATTGTAATTCCTTTACCATTTGTTGTGATTACCTCTAGTTTACATTATGAACTAGATTCAGACCGACACACGAGAGAAGAGAAAAAGATTGGAAGTGGAATAAAGTAACATAATATATAGCATTCTTGGAATATGGACTTAAAAAAGAATAGGAATAAATATTAGATTGCTAACTGATTAAACTCTTTGATCAGGAAAGGGTTGACTTTCAAAGAATTGAACTTCAATGATATTGTAAATTTTGAATTGCAAATTGAGAGTTACATTGGAAAAGGGGGTGGAGGGGAATTAAAACCCCATGTCTTTTTGTAAAAAAATAAGCCCTAATTTCTTTACATTGTTTGTAATCTTGTTTTGGAATCTTTTGTTGTTCTTTAATTTTCTTGACTAATTCGGGTTTCTTTGGGTAATCAAAGGTAAAGAACGCTAATTCGGGTGTGTCTACTGTCTGGCAATTAAATTAATAAAAAGTGAAGTTAAATTATTTTAATTAGAATGAATTTGGTAAAAAGTGGTTTAGAAATATTTTATTTTATTTGAATAAAACAAAAAAAAAATCAATTTTTTTTTGTTGTAAATCAATTTCAGGAGAAAAAAATTGTTAAATGAAAAATCATAAACTTCAAATATTCATATTCATGAAAATTAAACTTATTTTTCAAAAAGACAATTATTTTACAAATAACATTTTTCCCAAACATGTTCTTAATGTCTGGTTTATACAAAATATAATCCTCCAAAACTTGAATAGAGACAACAGGTTTGGTACTTCGTTCCGTATTACCCAAGGTGTGTTCAGTTTGGTGCGTGCTACCAGATATGGAACATGAGCAATGAGTTATTGTGTTTTATTAGACAGTGTCAATGTCTCTATTGAGTCTCTTCACGTGGCCATGTTGTCAAAATCAAATAATAAAACAAGACTAAAAGTTATTTTACTATGGACAATACATCGAGAATAATATCTTTTCTGCCAAAAAAAAAATCACGGATGAATTATATTGAAACTAAATAAACGATTAAGAATTTCAAGCTATAGCTCATGTATAAAATCCGTAAAGGAACGTAGAGATTATCCGAGAGTTTTAATTTGGAAAAGTTTATTCAGATTAAAAGTAATTCATGACCTTTCTATAAATTCTCTTTTAATTTGTTTCAACAAAATTTGCCCAAAAACAATTCCGTAAACTACTATTTTATTTTCTTTCTTTCATTAATTAGTTATAATACTAATAGACAAATTATAAGTTAGACTATGGCAAATCTACCTAATACTTGTGTTTCTCTTTCAATTATGCTTGATGCACAAAATATATTAATATTAATATTGTGAAATCAATCACAACAGAAAATGTACAAATGATGCTGGTCTATATCTCAGAATGGAAAATTGCTAGAAATGAACAATTGAAGGGCCTCCTATCATGGACTAGTTCACCAGCATTGTGAAGAATGTGAAGGAAAATGTTCTCATTGCAAGGGATGCGAAGTTTAGAATCATTATTGTTGAATCCAAACACATCCTCTGCATGGTCCAACAAGGCTTGGAAGAGTGGATGGTTGAGTGTACCCACTTTGATCACAAATCTCTTGCAATCCTCACCCACGTACACAACTAGGTGACCCTTTGGGACATCTTTGGGCACGTGTGACTTCTCACATGTGCCAACATGTTCCCGGATTCCACAAAATTCCCTTAGCCAGCATTTGAGAAGGTTTCCCTTCATCTTCACCACACAGAATTGAGAGAGAGAGAGAAAGATACACGAAACTAGAAGCAGAAGTGATGAGGTTTATATGATGTTGGTAGAGGGAGAAGAAAGAGTTATTATTATTATTATTATTGTAAAGGTTAAGAAGCTAGCTTAGTATTTTAATATGGGTGAAGAGAATAATAGGTATGGTTTTGGATGGTGGGTGAATTAAAAATTTAAATTTAGTAGGATTAATGAAGTTTTTGCATGCATTAATTGTATGAGCTTATTTTGTTGTGTTATGGTAGGGAAGTACCCCACGTACGCATTGGGAGAATGGGAGTGACAGGAAAAAGGCACGCATGAGGGGTAGAAGTGTTGGTTGGAAGGAGAATAATTAATATCTAAGTACCAAGTTGTGATTCCCTTTTCGGACATATATGGAAAGGGAATCAACTGTAACACACCCCTTTTCTCTCCACAAACTAAACCATTCACGGTTACCATATATTATTTTTTATCTTAAATATAACAAACAAATTGATTTTTTTTTTACAAAGTATGAGTAATAATCATATTAAATTTAAAAATTATTCAGAGTTAAATTTCTTTTATATTTTTTATTTATTGTGAACACTATTTTCTATACATTTATTTATAACTTGTATTAAATACAACTATTACTTAAAGTAAACCGCATATGTGAAATAAATATGATCTATGATAAAATTAATTAAAAGTAACCATATTAAGTTAAATTTTGATGATTTATTCTATGTTTCTTATAGTTGAGATAGTATCCTCTTTTGATTCTAGGTATTTTCATGACAAAGTCTTTAGTTATAAGATCATAATTTCAAGTTGTTTGTTACTTTCAAATTTTGGTTTACTTTTTAATATTCATTGCTTTTAAAAATATAATTAGTTATAGGAGTGATTATGAGATCTGTTTCACTAACCTGGTTTAATTTAAAGAGACTTTTAACGGGTTCAAGTTTAACAAATTGAGTCCCACATATTTTAAGAAAAGGTATAGATTATTTTTTAGGCTGTCTCAACCTAATCCAACATTATATATTTTAATAATTTTTAAATAAATATACATTAGTAATATACCTTCTTAATCAATAAATTATGTTTTGTCTAACATAATATTATATATATATTGATATTATTTATCTTGAAATATATATCGTAAAATATCTTAATTGTAGTTGTAAATTTTATAATTTTATAGTTTAAATATATTTAATATTAAAATGATATTATACTAATAATTAGGATTGACCGATTTTGTCTTCATATTTATCAAGTCTTGTTTGTTTACGTTCATTAAATTGATCTTAAAATATTTTTTAGTCGATTAGAGATACAAGGAAACTCATCCCAACTCATCCCACAAACACCTCTAATTAGTTATAGTGGTGTTTTAAATTTTTAATAAAAGTATGTATTTTAATTTAAGATATTCATTTTGTCATAATACTTATTATATTTAACATATTTTTCAAATGTATGTATCATTTTTAAAAATAGAAAAGATTATAACTTAGATATACTATAAACATCAACAAACATGTGAATCAAATTATACAAATATTATTCTAGCTTAATCAATGATTTAGAATTTGATTAGTGAGCATGCATTCTTATATTTTTAAAATTTGGGTTAATTTGATAATTTTAAAACAATAATTGTTTTGAAAATTTTTGGAACACAATTTTGATTTTTTTTTTACTAATTCAAGATGTGAAAATTTTCATATTAGATTCATATATATATGAAAATTATGAAACTCGGTTGATGTTAAAAAAAAGAAAGATTATAAATGTAGTAAAAAATAAGTCTTATGAGTAATAAAAAAAAAATTGAGATTAGATTTACATCTTGAATTAGATTACTCTTTTTGTTCTATAATAATAGTCGCATTAGAAGAAAAAGTAAGTTGCAAAATAAATATCATGTTAACTTTTCAATGCAATATTGTTTATCTATTTTTTATTATGTCCCTAATAATATTATGTAGAATTATGTTGTATTGTTTCTAATGAAGAAAATTAATAACAAAATTAATTTTGTAAAATTACTATTTTTTCATCTATTTATTATTATTATTTATTTGTGTAAAATAATTTAGAACAATACTTATTATGGGATGAAATGAGATGTTACAGATTAAAAATAGTTATTATTTAAAATATAAAATTCATTAAATAAATCTTAAATAATAAGATTTTAAAATTAAAAGTATAATTTAATTTTTATGTTCCCGTTTTTAATATGTTTGAGACGTGGAACATGGTGGATGGAGATGAATGCATGAATGCATTGATCCTTTGGTGGACACAGAAATCCAAATAAAAGAGCCAACAGATTTATGTTTGGTGATTATGATGAAAGAAGATATCCTAAACGAAACGTAGGCAACACACACTATTCTTTATTCTTTAAGAGCCAACAGATTTGGAAAATATATTGTTGGATTATGTCAATCATTTTGGATAGCTACCACAAAACTCTCCTTCACCTGCTAACATCACTGCCACTTCCAGCCCACGGCCCAACTTTTTTTATTATCTCTGTTTTTATATAGAAACTGTAAATACCTTATTCATTATGATTAAGAGAAATATACTATTTGTCAATGAATAATATATGCAAATAAATATTTAATAGGCTGAATTGTTTTTTTTTATTTAAAAAAATTCATTTTGGTCTTTTATTTGTGAAAATGTTTATATTGGTCTTTTATCCTTTATATTAAAATCAATTTTGTAAATTTAAAATAACGATTATTTTTAATTTTGTGATATGATTTTGAATCATTTATTACTGATTTAAAATGTGAAACTTGTAGCATTAAATTTTCCTATATGTAAACTATGAAACGAAATTGACGTTTGAATCTAAAAGAGTTATAAACAAAGTAAAAGTCGTGTAAAAAATATATTTTATAAACAATTAGAAAAATAGTATGAAATGATATTCTTTAAAATTTTTAATTTTCTCAAGTTTATAACATATTTGATTTTAACTTTAATTGCATTCAATAGTTTTCATTAAAGTTAAATTTATGAAACAAAAATTAAGTTTTGAATCAGACAAAAAAAAAATCAAAAAACCTAAATTAACATAAATTTAAGAGATAAATAATCAAAATAAGTATAAAAGATAAGATAAAGGACCAAAAGTATAATTTAACCTTTTAAATATAATACGTTGATCTCCTAATATATATTAACTCATTAAATTAACCATTTGCAATAAATGATTAGAACTAAATAACATAACGGTCTAAAATATTTTGTGATGATAGAAATACTTAAAGACTTAAATATATTTTTAGTCTCTTGAAAGTGTGCAAGTTTTAATTTTCTTTTTTGTAGAAAAAAATTATTATTTTTCATTTCTCTAAAATTTAAAATTATTATTTTTAGTTTCTAATATTATGTGATATTTTGTATTTTTTATTTTTGTTTTATTATGATTGTAAGTGGTGCTCACAAATATTTGTGAGTTTATGATACTACGTACGTGTGTGATATCTCTATAACTTTTTATACATAATTAAAACTATCACCATAAAATAATATTGGAGATTTAGAATAGTAACTTTAAATTATATATATATATATATATATATATATATGCGTATATGTAT